CCCCGGGTCACGTGCTTCAGACCGGCGCAGTCCTGACAATTTGGGGATAAATCAGTAAAGCGGGGTGGGGTGGGGGTTAAGATCCAGGCCGGGAAAAGAAATCAAAGTAAGCACTAGAGAAAGAGCTCCAAGTTGGGGAACTTTGAGGATTGCAATCTCTCCTTTCCCTTTCCCTTTCCCTTTCCCTTTCCCTTTTCTTTCTTTTTTTTTCTTTTCTTTTCTTTTTTTTTTCTTTTTTTTTTTGGTAACCGCGATTTCTATCCAGAAGCCCCTTTCCCAGGTTTAGGCGACAGAGCGAGCCCAGGACGGCCAAGGCCACACGCGCACACACAGAGGAGAAACAAGCACAAAAATAACAATCATGAAAGTAAAGGGTTTATCCCGGCTTACCGTTTAAGAGGAAACCCGCGGAGCTGGCGAAGGCGAACCGGCTTTGCACAGAGGGAAGAAGATATGAAGCTTAAAAACCCTGACTTCCCAGACCCCGTGACCTACTTCCGTCAGCAGACGCCCCCTACTGGGGGTTCCGGGAAACGGCTGCGATGGGCTCCACTCGCAAAAGAAGCTAACTCTTTTTAATCCCAGCACTCTCTCCGGAGGCAGAGGCAGGAGGATCTCTGTGAGTTCGAGACCAGCCTGAACTACAGAGCGGGTTCCAGGACAGACTCCAAAGCCACAGAGGAACCCTGTCTGAAAAACCAAAAAAAAGAGGAGGGGAGGGGAGGAGAAAGGAAAGGAAAGAATACACACGTTTTAATGATTTCTCTTTATAGCCCTACAGGGGTAGTGCACTCCTTTAATCCCAGCACTTGGGAGGCAGAGCCTGGCACATCTCTGAGTCCCAGGCCAGCCTGGTCTAAGTGTATGTATGTAGGCCTGTCTGGGGTGTGTACGTGTGAATGCGATTGCCAGCAGAGGCCATAGGTGTCCAAACCCCTGGAGATGCATTTACCAACATGGGTGCTAGGAACCAAACTCCAGTTCCCTGGAAGACCACCACAAATTCTTAACTGCCGAGCCATCCCTCCAGCCTCCAATTTTTATTTTTTGAGACAGGGTCTCACTATATAGCCTTGGCTGAGCAGAAACTCGCTCTGTACACCAGGCTGTCCTCGAACTCACAGAGATCCTCCTGCCTCTGCCTCCCGAGTGCTAGGATTAAAGGTGTGCACCACCACCGCCGGACAAACAAGCAAGCACACTCTTAACTGCTGAGCCATCTCTCCAGTCCTATTCTTCAAAATTAAAAATTAAAAAGCTAAGCCGGGTGTTGGTGGCGCAGACCTTTAATCCTAGCACTCAGGAGGCAGAGGCAGGTGGGTCTCGGTGAGTTCGAGACCAGCCTGGTCTCCAGAGTGAGTGCCAGGATAGGCTCCAAAGCCACAGAGAAAAACCCTGTCTTGAAAAAAAATTTAAAAACTATAAATAATTTCCATACTATTGTAATTTTTACACTACAACCGAAGAATCCTGGGCTTTAGCTCATTAGTGTCATTTATTTTTTGTTTTTTCCTAAGAATCAAAAGGTTCTCACACTTCAAGGGGGATCTGAACTGGAGTTACAGACAGTTGTGAGCCACCATGTGGGTGCTTGGAATCAAACCCAGGGTCTCTGGAAGAGCACCCATTGCTCTTAACCACTGAGCCCTTTTCTATCCCCAAGAAAAACTTTAAAATGTTCCAAACTTTGTTATGTCATCATTCAAGTTCAGCTTTAATATTTAATTAAAAGTCATTGAAACCTGCTACAAACAGAAGAATGCAGCTAAATGTTTAAAAGCAGTAGCAGGCTGGGTGGTGGCGCCTTTATTCCCAGAAGCACTCTTCGGGAGGCAGAGGCAGGCGGATCTCTGTGATTTCGAGGCCAGCCTGGTCTACAGGGTGAGTTACAGCACAGCCAGGACTGTTTCATAGAGAAAACCTGTTTCAAAAAAATAAAAGTAAAATAAAATAAAGCAGCAGCAACCCAATGGCGATAAGGTCTTGTTATTTAGCCCAGAATATTCTACAAATCCACAGCGATCCTCTTGTCTTGCCTGGAGTGGTGGTGAGTTTAAAGGCCACACCACAGCCCTGCTGGGACAAATGCGATTTTACTGTTTCCTCTGGGCTGCTATGACGCAGCTTTTCCAGCAGGTGGCACTGCAAAGTCGCGGGTGCGGCGAAAAGACCCTTTGGTCAAGGCCGCTGGGATCCGGAGTTCCAAGTTACCGCAGACCTTGGTGTTTTTCCTGCCGTTGGGGTTACTCGTCACTACTTGCTGGTACATAAATATTTCAGTACAGGGCTGAGCTGCACCCGCTCAGCCGTCTGAATGTCACCGCCAGTCACATCCAAATGTGGGTTCTGGGAACCCTGGGGGAGAAGCAAGTGCTCCAAATGCTGGCCTTCTCTCCACCCACACAGCCAGACCCTTTGACGGCTGCATCCTTATCCCAAGGCATGCGCCTCCTCCCGCTAGACCGTTAGTCTTCTGAGCTCACCTCTCCAATGGCTCCATTGCACCACAATGGTCAAAACCTCCCCATACCTGTGAAGTCGTTGCCTTCAACATCTCCCTCTGGTCGCTTCTCCTCCCTCTCCTACGCACTCCGGGTTTTCTCTAACTGGCTGACTCCTCTCCCCAGACACGAAGTAAAAAGTCTGTAAATTCCCCCACTTTCTTCCTAGCCAGGTTCGCGGCTCACACTGTAGACGACCTATTCCTCTCCTCCCACCTCTGTATCTCCAGCCGGCACCTCTTCTGCAAGTTCCACTTGTACTTACGTCTCTGGAAACTGTCCATGATACCCAAGCCCCCAGTTGCCAAGTCCGATGCCTGATGTACACTCTTGACTTACTCTCCTACCCGACCGACCCAGGCAGACACACTGCAAAACAAGCCAACGACCTGTCAATCTACCTCCTGAATTTACTCTCAGCTGCCTTCCTCCCACTGGTTCTGGTTCGGGTTCCTCCTAGGATGTCTACAGAACCCACCAGTCATGCTCCCCTTCCAAATCAGTATCTGTGTTGCAGCCACAGTGGTCTACAGTCGATTGATTTTCTGCCTTTTAGTCATCCGGTTAAATTTTTTTGTTGTTGATTCTTGTGTTGTTTTTTTTTGGGGGGGAGGGGGATTCAAGACAGGGTTTCTCTGTATTGCTTTGGAGCCTGTCCTGGTACTCACTCTGTAGACTAGGCTGGCTTCGAACTCACAGAGATCTGCCTGCCTCTGCCTCCTGAGTGCTGGGATTAAAGGCGTGCGTCACCACTGCCTGGCACCAGTGGGCTTGCAGGACCTACTCTGAGTCCAGTCTAGACCCAGCTTCCAGAGCCGTAGAGATGGTGCACAAGCCCAAGGAACTGAGTTTGGATCTCCACCACTTCTGTAAAAAGCTAGTTGTGGGCGGGGGCGGTAGTGGGGCATTCCTTTTGTCCCGGCACTCACTCGGGAGGCAGAGGCGGGCCGATCTCCGTGAGTTCTGGAGAGGGAGTGCCACGACAGCCTCCAAAGCTACACAGAGAAACCGTGTTTCAAAAAACCAAAACCAAACAACAAAAAGCCAGTAGTGGCAGGGTGCATGTCAACCCTAGTACTTTGGAGAATCCCTGGAGTTCAGCAGTCAGCCATTTTAGCCAATTAATAAGCTCCAAATCCAGAGAGAACCTTACCCTGCCCTCCATGCCTGCACAAGCCAGCTTCCAGATTGTGTCTCAACACTTGTGGATCAGGACCCCAGTGGGTCCTATGCCACTCTTCTCCCAGCATTTACCACATTAGAAAAAAAAAAGTTTTTTATTGCATTCATCACTCAATAAACCAGGAGCTCCACCAGCAGCCATTTTTACCCTTTTTGTCAACAAGCAGTGATTGACGGGCATGAATTACTCAACAAATATTCAGTGGGTAGGTCCCTGGGGTTTACAGTATGCTTCATCCTAGCTGTGACAGTTCAGTGATACATGCAAATAACTAGTTAGCAGTGGTGTCTGGTTGCTGTGTTCTGCTGGGTTAGACACTTATTCAAAATAATTTGTTTGTCCCAAAACCTCTGGCAAATAGTTTTCAACCTTTGCTGATTGCATCATTGGTTCTGAGTCTGGCTAACTGGACTCATCTGGACCACACACAGCTACTTACTTCAGAATGAGAGCTATATAAAAAGTTCTTGCATTAAGAGTCTTGTTTCGCCGGGTGTTGGTGGCGCACGCCTTTAATCCCAGCACTTGGGAGGCAGAGGCAGGTGGATCTCTGTGAGTTCGAGGCCAGCCTGGCCTACAGAGTGAGTTCCAGGATAGGCTCCAAATCCACACAGAGAAACCCTGTCTATGTGGGGGGGTCTTGTTTACTCTGCTAGACTGGCTAGCTGCATGACAGAGCCACAGACCACTACGGTGGCCAGGTACCTACTTAGTGAACACAACCCAAGCAAGAGAGAGGAAAGATTTGAGCATTTGAGCATGAGAAGGAAATGAAAGTTTCTCCCTGACTTCAGGCTAGGGCATGACTTTCCTTCCCCGTGACCTGTCTGTCACTAAAACAGATCTTTGCCTCGTCTTGTTTTCCCATAAAATGAGCAATGACAGTGACCGATCTTTTTAATTTTTAAATAATTTATTTGCATTTTATGTACATTAGTGTTTTGCCCAATTGAATGTCTGTGTGAGGTTATTCAATGCCCTGGAACTGGGGTTACAGACAGTTGTGAGCTGCCATGTGGGTGCTGGGAATTGAACCAGGGTCCTCAGGAAGAGCAGCCAGTGCTCTTAATCTCTGAGCCATCTCTCCAGCCCAGACAGTGACCAATCTTTAAAACAATATTGGCTCCTGTGAGGTCTTCAGCTCAACTCCACCGCAGCCTGACTCCCAAACGCCCAGGTGTCAACAGGAGACAGTGAGCAGAAGCATCGAGGGAAAAGAGTACCAACAGAATCCTCACTTTTTGCTCTTGTCTGTGAAACTCAAGAACCCTACACGGGAGACTGGACTTTTCTTAGTTGAGGTTTCTTCTTTTCCAGCACATTCTGTGTGATCTTCATACATGTCCACATGCTGTGGTCCTAACACCACGTGGCAGTGCAGCCTCCAGGACTTGGGTCCACACCGGAGCCATCAAAGGGAGTAAACTTGAAGGAACACATGGGCGGAGGCCTCAGCCTTTTCTCGGGGAAGTTCCTTTCTCTTTGGTGGGCCAATCAGGGCTGACACTGGAGAAAACACTGCCCACCCAGGAAGCTAGCCGCGGGGTCCACACTCCCACTCGAACCATACAAACTGTGGCTGCCCCCTCCCTAACATTGTCCCAGGCACCTTCCAATCCTAGGTGAGACCTTAAAGATTCTGAGCTCCATACCCAGAGTAATAGAGCTCAGAAGTTGGTTCTGCGCTGACGAGCATTTTGTTTTTATATGCATTGATGTTTTGCCTGCCTGCATGTATGTCTGTGTGAGGGTGCCAGATTCCCTGTGACTGGAGACACAGACAGTGAGTGCTGGGAATTAAACTCGGGTCCTGCAGAAGAGCAGACAGTGCTCTTAACCGCTGAGTCATTTCTCCAGTCCAGCTCTCAGTCCCTCAATGAGATGTGACCCTTAAAGAACAAACTGCTCTGCTCAAACTTTGAATGTGCGCACTCGTTTGCTGGCAAGAACTCTCCACCTGTACACACCTCACTAACATTTTCACAAGTGTCTTGGTATATTTATGTCTCACTTAATTCCAGAATTATACTCTAAGTCCCCAGGATTTGCAGGACCAGACACACCCATCTTAATCCAAATCTGTGCTCCACGAGGTCTGGTCATGGCCAGTCCTGACTCTTGCATCATACAGAGCATTTTGTGCTATGCACAGGTCCAGACACAAACTCCTGATAAATATCTGCTGAGTGGAAAATTCCTATTAACCTCTGTGGCTCCTTCACCCAAAAACCCGCTATAACCCAGGCCAGGCAGCAGGGGGCGCCCAGGACACAGCTCAAAGGCAGGTGAGCCTGCCTAGACCTCCTCTGCCCAGGGGGACTAAGTGCTGTGTGGGAGGGAATGTCAGCACCAGGCCCTAGGTAACTCTGCTTCCCAGAGAGAATGGTGAAGGCAAACCGCCTCCCAGCCTCCCACAGCTGTCAGCCGCTCTCACTACAGACGACAGGGAAGGGATACAAAGCAGACCATCTTTATTCACAATCAGGGTGGCCATGGGGAAGACCTCCAGCTCAGTCCAAAAGCAAAGCTACCGAGGACAATGGAGACAGGAAGGGGGGCTCAGCACTCGCCCTCGCCCAGCAGGGCGTATGGGTTGCGGGCAGCTAGGCAGGACCCAGGGCCTGAGGTTGGGGTGTCCTCATCGCCTTCTCCTTCTTCATCAGCATCCCGGTCTTCCTCTCCTTCCTCCTCACAGGAGCTGCTCAGCTCTTCCTCCTCTTCCTCCTCCTCCTCATCTCCTGCTGGCCCCACCCTACCCTGCAACACCACCAGCTCAGTCGTCTCCGCATGAGTCTCCCAGGTACCTGAGGAACACAAAGACGTGTGTGAGCAAGAGAGAAGAGGCAATTCTTCAGAGGGCTAGTGTGTACCCCTTCACTCTCCCAGCCATTTGCAGAGCTTGACAAAGCTTGTGCATCTTCAATCCCCAGTCACCCATATTTGCAGATCAGTACGATATCATCAAAGCTGGCCCCGTCGTGACCCTCTGTCTGGCCTCACCTGTCAGCAGGGACTGCAGAGAACACCGGGCTCTCACCTCTCTGTTCACTGTAACCAGGTGGGTGGAAGCACAGGCTGAGACGGCCATCCACAGCCAGCCGCAGAAGGCTGTTGGCTGCTCTGTACACATCATTGCGAGCTGCCTTGGCTGTTTTATAACCTCGTTTCTCTGCCCACGCTGAAAGGAGAAAATCATGTCAGTAAGGGAGGCCCGTGAACTAGGTTCCAGTCCTGTCAGTCCCACACAGTCCAGGCATGAGGAAAAGACACCTGGGGTATGAGACAGCCCCCTTCCCCCAGGCCAGAATGTTCATTGGGAGGGCAGGGTAGGCAAGAGACAAATGCAGAGACCATGAAGCCTACCTTCGCAGATGTCCCAGGCACACCAGGGGTGCTCCGCTGAAGGGTCCTCCGCCTCTGGGTGGCGCAGGTGCAGCAGAGCCTGCACGGGGATTCGGGAGGCCAGGTACCCCACAGCAGTGTAGGGCTCCTGGATCTGAGAGATGGGGTAGATTCCAGCCAGAACCTGTGGAAACAGCAGTCACTCAGCACCTTCCCCAGCTCAGCCTTCTCCCCAGCCCCGTAACCCAACACACCTGCAGCTGCCTGGGCAGCAGAGACGGGAAGATAAGGCCCGGACAGTCGCAGAGCTTCACTGAAGGGGTGAGAAAGTAAGTCTGGAAGTACCGGGTGTGGCCTGGCGTTCTGGAGACACTCACCACCTTCCGCCCCACCAGCCCGTTGATCAGCGAGGACTTCCCCACATTGGGGAAACCTAGGAAGGCAATGCAAGGGATTATGGAATAGCCCTTACTCTGGGCCAGAGAGGCTGTCAGGGGAGGAACAGCTTGGGGTAACACAAACACACATAAAAACTAAATCTAAGACTAAACCAAACCCCACAAATATCTAAGACATTAAATAGACAAGGTCTCTTGTCACCTCTTATACCCCCCAAAATGAGAAGAGATCTTAGACCCCAATCACACATTCCTTTTCCTCTACAGCAGTGGTTCTCAACCTTCCTAACACTGCAACCCTGTAATACAGTTCATGTTGTGGTGACCCCCAGCCATAAAATTTTCACTGTTACTTCGTAACTATCATTTAGCATTATAAATAGTAATGTAAGCATCTGATATGCAGGACATCTGGTATCTGACTGCTGTGAAAGTCGATCCTCGCAGGGGTCTCGACCCACTGGTTGAAAACTGCCACTCTACTGTAGACCAGGCTGGCCTTGAACTCAGAGATTTGCCTGCCTGTCTCCAGGTGCTAGGATTAAAGGCGATCCCACCACACCTGCGACCACCCTGAACAGGGCTCTGACCTAGAGGAAGCTGATACTTCTGCCCTCCTGCTATGACTTAGGGATCCCTGTATGAGGAACCAACACTCACAACGGAACAATGACTCTACCAGTCACTCAGGGCAGTATATAAGAAGCATCAGGCTCAGCACTGCGCCTGCCATTCCTCACCTCCCTTCTTGAACTGTGCATTGGCAAACTCATTCATTCACTAGAACTTAAGCACAGTGCAGTAGGTTCCCTTCAGTCCCCCCAGGACGGACAGTGGGGTTCTTCCCTTGAAGAACCTGCAGCCCAAATATTCCTAGCTTCCCCCCTCCAGAAACACTGAAACACAGTGCCTAAGGAAGCCATATGGCAGGCAGGCCACTACGTTCTTACCCACACAGCCGATGGTCACCACTCCATCCTTGTAGCGCTCCCTGGAGGGGCCTGTGGGCTCCATCGCTGAGTCAGTCTGCTGCTCTACCAAGACCACTGGCCCATCTTCTTCTTCCTCCTCCTCGCCAGAGCCGTTACCCCAGGAGGCCCCGGCCATGTCCCTAGCAATCTTCTCACGCCAGCTGCTCAAGTCCACTGCCCAAAGAAGAAGATGATGACGATAAATAAAGGGGGTTTCCCTTACCCCCAGGGCACTATGGATAACACACAGTTGGTATCACCAGCATCCATAGAAACCACAGCGAGCACATGTGTACTAGAGCAGACTGAAAAACTCCCCAGTCTGCACTGGACCCCACTCGGGAGTTAGACATAAAAGCAGCTAGGACTGGGGGCGTCAAGCCATGGAGGTTCCTAGCCACCTCCTGCTCCTGTCCTTCCTACCATTAGGGGTTGCTCCTTATTCAACAACCTTCCTAAACACACGTAACGGAGGGATATTGAGAAGTGAACCCTTCAGCTGCCCCCAAAGCCTTCCATAGCCCCCTCCAAGGGACATACATACCTTTCCCCGCAGTGATGGCTTCGCAGGCTCTTAGCAACTGCTCTGGCCCCAGCGCCTGAGTCCATCCTCTCCCCCGCCTTCGATTCTTCTTCAAGACTGAGGTGAGAGGGTGAAGATGCATCAAATCAGGTTCCTTTGCCAACAGGCTTCTCTGTTCACTCACACTGGCCTGCTCACCTCATCCCCCCCTCCACCGCCTGCTCACCTCACCCCGCCCCGCCCCGCCCCCACCGCATGCTCACCTCACCCACGGCCCTCTCCACGGCCCACTTACCACCACCAGGCTCCTGTGGCGTTCTCGAGTCCCGAGGGAAAGAGGTGAACAGGACAATGTGGAGCTGAGGGTAGTGCTGGTGAAAGTAATGCTTCCAGGCCACCACAAGGGCCGGTGGAGCCAGATCCACCTTGTTCAAGACCAGCACCAGGGCTAGCCCAAGCTCTCCAGTTACATACTCATAAAGTGCTGGAGGGAAGTTCACAACCTACAACAGAATTGGTAAGAGGACAGAGTGAGAAGTGATCCCAGAGGTCGCTGGCTCCAGCTCCCCATCACCAGGTACAGTAAAAAACGCCAGGCCCTGGCTGAAGTAGATGTAGTATGGGGGAAGACGGTCAACCAGCCACACTGAACAAGAAAGGCAAAGCAGGAGAGAGAGGGAGAGAGGGAGGGAGGGGGGAGGGGAGAGGGAAGGAAGGGGGGGAAGGGAGGACCAGAAAATATAACACCTGGCTGGGTCAGGAACACGAATGGGGGCTGGGTGAGTGGCATCTGTTTCTATGTGCACATAACTGTAAGTGTACACACGTGTACAGCCACATGCAGGAAAGTATACGCACATGTGTACACATTTGTGTTGTGCACGTGATGGTGCCTGTGGAAGACCTCCAACCTAAATGTCCCTGCAGACCCCCCTTCTCCACTGGAAGACAACAGTGAGGTGGCAGTCGGGAACCCAGGACTCACAGAGCTGTCCAGCAGTGGTCTACATCTCCCCCACCATCCTAGCATTCCAGGTATGATCTGTGGCAATGATGCTGTGCTACAGAAATGAGAGGAAGAAAGGCACCTTTGGGCTGAGCCTAAGAAGCCCCCAGTTGCCTTCAAACTCCCTGGAGTTTGGTACTGGGACTTCCATTGGTCTAGCTCTGGAAGACGGGGAAACAGGGTGTGTTTGTGCGCATGTGTGAGCATGTGCGTGTACCTGTAAGCTGGCCAGCAGCTGAATGGAAGGCTGTGGATAAACACTGAGTTTCCCAGGCTGGCAAAGCTCAGGCTAGCACAAAGAAGACCCAGGTTTCATCCCCATCAGGGAGAAATAAAAAGAATTTCTAATTAAAGACTTTAGCCCAAGGTATAAAAAGGAAAAAAGGAAGCAAGCTGCTGTAACCCAGCACTGGGAGAGGAGGATCCTAGGGCTATTTGGTGAGCTCCAGGCCAATAGGAGACCCCCCCCAAAAACAAAGTGACATCGTCTGAGGAACACATCCAAGGTGGACCTCTGGCTTCACAATTCCAAGCACACATTCTAGAAGTGGAATGGCGAGCACCGGGACACACACTTATCAGAAACATCACACCAACCCTGCTTTTGAGCCCCCACCCCACCCACCTGCTAGAACCTCCCTTACAGACAGACCCCTCTGAGCACTTACCGGATGTCGGATGTCAGTGATCAGCAGGACGATGTCGGACATTTCTAACACCCGCCATAGCTGCCTCCATGTCTGCAAACATCAGAAGGGAGTTTGGCCTGCAGTCCTTCTCCTGCCCCAGCCCGGAACATTACACAGGACCACAACTCCTGCCCCCCAACACTGTTACCTCCAAGTTGTGCTCAAAGTAGCTGAGTTTCTCTGAAGTGTATGCCCCATGTATCTTCCCAAGGTATTCCTGGAAGCTCCGCTCCTCTTGGCTCATTAGCTGCTCCTTGGACATCTCATAGCTCCAAGGAGGACGTCGGGGAAAGTCCAGGACTGGAAAATGAGGAAAAAGGTATAAGGATTCTTCCTTCTGGCAGAGTTTCTCTAAATAACAGTCCTGGAAATCACTCTGTGCCTCTGCCTCCCGGAGAGCTGGGATTAAAGGTGTGGACCACCTTTACTTTAATCCCCCTAGGTTTTTCAAGACAGGGTTTCTCTGTGTAATACTGACTATTCTGGAACTCACTCTGTAATCCAGGCTGGCCTTGAACTCAGATTTTTTTTTTTTTTTTTTTGAGACAGGGTTTCTCTGTGGCTTTGGAGGCTGTCCTGGAACTAGCTCTTGTAGATCAGGCTGGTCTCGAACTCAGAGATCCACCTGCCTCTACCTCCCAAGTGCTGGGATTAAAGGTGTGTGCCACCAACGCCGGGCTGAACTCAGAGATCTTTAATCTTTAATCCTGCCTTTGCTAGGATTAAAGGCATGTGTCACCACTAACAAAACCCTGCTAGGCCTTTTTTTCAAACTCAACCCTGCATCTATGATCCCCCCATTTCCTCCCAGCCAGCCAGTTCCCCCTGGCTGATGGCAAACACCAAGTAGCCTCTCTCACCTGAACCAGGCTGATAGACTTCCCGGATATCCAGCTCCAGCATTTCAGTACTGACAGGCTGTAGCACTTGCTCTCTGGCGGCTCTCTTTCTCCTCTCCACTTCCTCTCGGCTGTCCCGTTCGAAATGCAGCCGGTATCTGAGGGAAGAAGGACCACACTCCTAGTGGAATCCTGTGACCACAATCTCCTCTCCAAAGTAGGCAACTCTGCAAAGCTCTCTCCCGCGGCTGTTCAGGTCTCTTCTTGGTAGCCACCCCCCTCCTCCCCCTGAAAACAAACTCCTGACAGCCCCTCTGGAAAGCAAGACTGTGGCCCATCCCGAGAGAACCACCCTGGCTTCCCGGCTGGCTAACTCCACTGTCAACTAAGCCTTGCCCGTCTTTCCCCATGGAAGCGCGGGTCTGGCGCTGCCCTCCTCCTTGGCTCACCGGTTGGGATCGTAGCCTCTCGGCCCCAGCCCCTGGGAAGGCTGCTGGTTGAGCCTGCGGATGTGATGGGTCACGGATTCCCCATCTGAGGTGTCCGTCTGCTCCTCCCGTCGCTCCCGGCTCCCGCTGCGGCTGTTGGAACTGGAGCGAAGCCCATCTTGAAGCCCTGAGGGGAGGGACCGGAGACGCCAGTGTGGAGACCGGTTCTCGGGGTACCTGAGGCCGCCCACCGCCCCGAGTCCAGCTCTTCTGCAGCCGCCCCAACTTCTCCGGAGGCCCCATCCTCCCCACCGCGCGCCCGCTCCAGCTCCCTCCCTCCATCCCTGCCGGGT